AAGTCCATAGTTAACATTGGGGTTTACTCTTGGTGTTGTACATTCTATAGGTTTGGACAAATGTATAATGACATGTATTCATCATTATAGTATCATACAGAATCGTTTCACTGCCATCAATATCCTCTGTGCTGTCCCCTATTCATCCTTCTCCTGCCAGCCCATGGCAACCACTGATCTTTTTACTGCCTCATAATTTTGCTTTTTCCAGATGTCATATAGCTGGAATCATAAAGTATGTAGCCTTTTCAGATTGGCTTCCTTCACTTAGAAATATGCATTTAAGGATCCTCCATGACTTTTCATTGTTTAATAACTCATTTCTTTTTAGCATTCAATAATATTTTATTGTCTGGATGTTGTACCACTATTTATTTATCCATTTGCCTACAGAAGGACAACTTGGTTGCTTCCAAGTTTTGGCAATTATGAATAAGGCTGCTCTAAACATCCATGTGCAGGTTTTTGTGTGGGCATAAGTTTTCAACTTCTTTGGTTAAATGCCAAGGAACACAGTTGTTTTATTATATTGTAAGAGTATGTTTAGTTTTGTAAGAAACTGCCAAACTGTCTTCCAAAGTGGCTGTACCGTTTTACATTCCTATCAGCAATGAATGAGAATTCGTGTTGCTCTATATCTTCCCCTGACTTTGGTTTTTTCCCTGTTCTGGATTTTGGCCATTCAAACAGGTGTGTAGTCATATCTCATTGCTGTTTTAATATGCAGTTCCTTAATGACATATGGCGTTGAGCATATTTTCATATGCTCATTTTCCATCTGTATATCTTATTTAGTGACGTGCCTTTAGCCCATTTTTTATTCAGGTTGTTCATTTCTTTTCCATTGAATTTTAAGGTTTTTGTATATTTTGGATGATTCCTTGATTGGATATGTCTTTTGCAAGTATTTTCTCCCAGTCTGTGGCTTGTCATCTCATTCTCTTGATAAAAGGACATTTTGAAATGGTCAAATAATATAAGAAATGACATTTTGGCAAAATGGTGGTCCTCCCATTGGTTTTATACATTTCAATTTATTTTATGTAAAACATGTTTTTATTATAATTTGCATTTAACTGGTACTAAAAACATTTCTGAAATGGATTCACTCCTATAAAACCCTTTGAATTAACACACACTATATTTAAAGGAAAGAAAATAGGAAATTTAACAATATTTAGCCCAAAGCTCCCTCTCTGGAGCTCAGGGCAGAAAGGCTGGAGATCTGGAATTTAAATACGAGAATAATGTGTGTGTTTGTATGGAGGGGATTGGGGAGAGAAAGAGAGATAGATTGATGAGAGAATGAATTTTCATCCACAGAGGTGGATAAAATAACTTAGGGAAAGAGTGTGTGGAAAAACAAAGAGGGCCAGGGATAGCTCTGGAGTTTCTCAGCATGTTGGAGTCTGGTCAAGGAAAAACAGCCAGCAAAGGATATGGAGGAGAAGCTGCCAGTGAGTGTGAAATAGAAGGAGACCAGCCTAAGAGGGAAGTGTTTCAAGAAGAGCATAACTAACTGGATTAGTTACTGCTGAGGAAGGGATCAAAGAAAATGAAGACAGATTCAGCCTGAGCAAGACGTTGCTCATATGCAACCTCTGTAAGATCTGTTTGACTGGAATGGCCAGATGAACGCCTGATTAGCATGAGTTGTGGAGCAAATGGGAGGTGAGGAAAGTGGAGACAATGAATATATTGAGGACTTTTTGTTGCAAAGAGAAATGGGATGGTGGCTGAGGAAATATGTGAGACTAAGAGAGGTATTATTTTTAGACAGGTGACATTGGTCATGTTCCTATCTCGAAGACAGTGATTCTCATTTGATTCTGCACTTGATAGCAGTGACCACTCTGAGCTTCTTAAAATGCTTTCATTTCTATGACACAACCTTTAGCTTGTTTTCCTCTTACCTCTGCTGGTTCCTTCTTCTCAGTCTCTTTTGCTCAGTCAACCTTCTGTACCAGAGAGGGCCGTCATGTATAGTTGCGCAGATTGTAAACTGTAGGAACTTCGGGGGCACGATTTATACAAACTATGATGTGAATGATGTCCCCAAGTCATACCATCCATAACCTGCACCATCCTATGTGCTGATCCTGATTACCAGCCTCAGAATATTTTATTTGAAGCACAGAGAAACAACATTATATGTTGGTGTTGTGGGTCTAATGTAAGTAACAGAAATATGAAGCTAAACCACAATAGCAATAATACTATATTTGCAAAGCAAAACTAAATCTTGAGATCAAATAGAAAGAGTTGGATTTCAAAGAAATTTCCACCCCCAACTAAAGTTATTGTCAAAAAAAATAGAGAGAGAAAAAAAGCATTTCTTCCTCTATTTACCCTCCATTTTCAAAGCAGCATACTGAGATATAGGTAGTAAATTTCTACATTGAGTCAATTCTCAAGATGGGGAGAAAGCATTGCAAATCACTAACCCATCCTACCTGTTCAAAACATAAGAAGGAACAGTTAAAATTACATGCATTGAGGAGATAAGGCAAAACTTTCTGATTAACTAAATTAACAATAACTTGAACAATAGAATTCTTTTATTTTTATTACTCCCAAACTGGAAACAACCCAAATGTCTATCAACAGGTAAACAAGTATATGCAATTGATAGTATATCCTTACACTGGAATACTATTCAGAAAAAAAAAAAAAGAAAGAAGCTATTGATACACACTATGACCTGGATGGATCTCAAAATAATTATCTTAAGTGAAAGAACCAGACAAAAAGAATTTATATTGTATGATTGCATTTCTATAAAATTCTAGAAAATGTAAACTATAGTGACACAAAGTGGACCAGTGGTTGCCTGGACGGAGGCGGAAGGCAGAAGGAAGGGATTACCAAGAGAGACAAGGAAACTTTTAGGGTGATGGATATGTTTATTATCTTGACAGTAGTTGTAGTTTCATTGGTGTTAACATATTTCAAAAACTTACCAAATTGTACACTTTAAATATATGCAGTTTTATTGTGTATCAATTATATCTCAATAAAGCTGTAAAAAATAAAGAAATAAAGAAAAAAAGAAGTTTGGTTTCTGAATATCCAAAATTGATTTATGTAGCCTTTAACCTAATATTAGAAAGTGAAAGCAAAGCAAGGGTAAATCTTTTGCAGGATAGCAGTGAAAATGTCATTAGAATGTTACCAGATTCATAAAACTAAGTGCCATTATAAAGATATAAACAAATTTTTTCACCTTCTAGTTGCATTTACAATTCTACTTTTAAAGGAATGTGTATATTTTCTGCCTGCTTGCTGCTAGACCAACAAAATGGTGTTTGATTTATTTCACCTCTGGGACACCTTGAGCTTGGGTTCAGAGTTCATCACCTCTGCAAATGTAACAAAACTTCATTCCAAATTCGTCTTTGAAAACATTATGAACAGTGTCCTTGTGCTTTTGGTGGCTATGTCAGCTCGCTTATCTCTGATTAAGGTTCACACTTCATTTCCTGCAGTGTGTGAACACGATGCTACTACCACTGCCTTTGACTCACAAACATTTAAGGAATGGGTAAAGCAGGGACTGAGTTACGAGAACGAGAAGCAGCAACGCCTGGCTACACCTATTTATTCCCTTCATTTCAGACTATCACGTTGACTGACACGGAGGAACTTAACTAACTTACACATTTTATTTAACCAAAAAACAAAACACAACAACAAGAAGAGAACCAACATGTTACAGTACTTTGAAATCACTGGGTAGACGTATGTGTGATCTACCATCCTCAGGGATTTAAACTGCTCTTGAGCAAACATACTTTATAAATTGAGACCTGGCAGGCACCCAGGGAGTGGTTAAGGTTTGCATATCTTGCTGAACTTTGGCACAGCACTCCCGACTGATTGGTGGCGCTCTGGGAAGTTAGCTGGGTGGAGATGAGTATGTCTCAGCAGAATAATTTAGTATTATTAGCATGACGTTTGATTAACAACATCATAGTAATCAGGGATCATTGTTTATTGACTCAGAGAAATCAAAAATTAAAAAAGAAGTGTTTAAAACAAGATAATCCAAGAAATTGGTTAAAAACTGAAACATACAAATGACTCCAGTTAAGTTTGAGTTTTGGTTAGACAGTTGACAATTAGTAACAAGAAATAAACTTGATAGTAAGAGTTATTACAGTAAAATAGGTTTTTCTCGTTTTGTTTCCTTTTGGAGGCTTGGGCTAGGCTGGGAGTTAGGGGAAAATAGATGCTATATACGCTATAATACTTTTTCCTCTAGACCATGAATTTATTAAATTTTGTATATGTGGAAATTAAAAATTAAAAAAATAATTGATTTAATTCTATTGTTGGCTACGTAATTATGAAAAGAAATAAAATAGAACCATAAATTTTATTCTCTGTCTTTTTTTCCCAAGTCACAGAGCAAGAAGCATCTGTTTATCTACTACAGATCAAAATCAAAAGAAATTAACTTTTAATTTTCTTAAACTCTTCAAGGCATCATTTGAGACATATTGGTAACGGGAAACTACATACTAATTTACAAGTGAAGAGACTAATGATCTCCAAGTCTCTTTTAAGTAATTCAAATTCTGTCAGCTATTTAGAAGCCTTAAAAATGTAGAATATATACTTCTTAAAACCCAGACTTAAAAACTGAAAATTAGATGTTAATATACTGGCTTTAAAGATGATTCTCTTTGTGTTTTAGGTAACATTGACTTCCTTGACTTTTGAGAAAGCCAAGGAGGCACAAAAACTTACATATCACTCTTGGCTGCTGTATCCCTAGATGTAATTTGCCTACTATAAATTCCAGAAAGTGTAGGTTATGGAGGGAATAAACTATGCTAAGGCTGTCGAGTTTTACAAAGTTGTTTGGTTTTATTTTAATGTATTTTCCAAATTATCTTAAATTGAAATAGCCACAACATACTCATTTGCTTTGTAATTATTGAGCATTGTCTGCTTATTTTTTAATCAAATTATTTAAAAGTTTTATTTGTTTGTTTCAGGACTCATGCCTGTTGCACAACAGCCTGTTTATTGTGCTTCAAAACATGGCATAATTGGATTCACACGCTCAGCAGCGGTAAGGCTATAACAACCATAATATCTCTTTTTCTTTTTGTGTAAATAGAGGAAACATGAATTCTATAAAGTAGAAAGGAATAAATTCAGAATTCAATACATCTGGATAAAAGATGGAAAAATAATATTATACTTCAATCTTTATTGTAAAAAATAGTTTTCAGATCACTTAAAGGACCAAATAAAAAATAGATCATTTTAAAATGAAGTAGATTTTAAGTATGGATGTGTTACTGAAAAATATACTACAGATGAATAACGGGGAGATACTCTTCATTTTTAAAATGAACTCAAAATTTAAGCATTGTTAACTTCAGGCTGCCTTAAATAGAACACGTTAATAGGCTCCAGACATTGCTTGTCACTGGAAATACATGAAAATGAATGAGATCCTGCAGCTTGAAGGAGGGGTGGGGACAGGTATTTACTTGATAGAATGGTCAAATACAGTGTCATGATGGAGACCTAAGGTGAAAGGTGTACAGAGCTTAGAAAAATATTTTAGGCCTAATTGACCACATGCATTGATAGCATGTGGTGAGAATGTTTACCTTTTTATGATAACTGATAAGAGGGTAGCTTGAATGGAGCCTGGTAAGCAAAGGGAAAGTAAGATTAGGTATGTCTGGAGATATAAGTAGGGGCCAGAGTGTGAGCTTGGGTTTTATTCTAAGTGTAGCCATCAATGGGTGTTTTTCTTGCAGTAGTGACAGGATCAGATTTCCATTTTAAGAGGACCATCTGCCTGCTATTTGGAAAACGTATTACAAAGGATAAGTGTAGAAGAGGAAAGAACAGTTGGGAGGTCTCTGGGTGGTCATCTAGGTGAGACAAAGAAAGGGGCCAGAGACATTCACAGCAACAGGATGAACCTGAGGAAAATTATGTTAAGTGAAATAAGCCAAGTACAGAAAGAGATATACTGCATGTCTCACTCGTAAGTGGGAGCTAAAAAAAATGAGCAAATAAATAGAAAAAGAAAGAAAGAAAGGTACAACGATCACAACAATACATTGAACTTTCGAAAGGAGAGAACAGAACTGAGGTTACCAGAGGTGGGAAGGGGGGTAAGGGGGGTGTTGTTAAAGGGCCACAAAAAATGATTACATTGCATAGTGTTGAATATACAATTATCCAGATTTGAGCATCACACATTGATATTGCATATAGATATTGATGTTCAACTCTGTACAATTAACCCACAGATATGTACAATCAACTGTGTTTCAATTAAAAAAAAATCACAGACACACAGAATATAAAGCAGCTAATAGAAAAAAAGAAAAGAAAAGAAAGGTGCCAGAGAGATGAGTAGAAAAATATTAACAGAAGAAATATTAGGGGACAGAGAAAACAGATGTGTGAATGTTAAATGTTCAATTAAAAAAGAAGATAACCAGTCTTCATACTTAATTAAAATTATTTGGAAATTATTTAATTTCTAAAGAAATTAGTCTTTAAAGATAAGTTAATCTTTTAAACTTTTAATGAGCACATAACGCTATTACAAAGCAAAGTAATTCTTAAAGACCAGAAATTTTGTATTTGAAATTACCAGACCAGAAACTTACACAGTCAATTTTCATTATTTATGGTAATTGTGTTCTATGAAGTCACTTGCAAACACTGCATTAGTTACTAGTGAACCATTGCTCTCCAGGGAAATGCAATGTTAAATTTCTGAGATGCTGTGGTCATGACATTTTAACCAACCAATCAATACATAACTTTGTTTTAAGTGTATTTCTGTTTTAAAGACACCTTTTTTTATTATGTATTGTATGAATATTGAAGTCATAGCTAAAGCACTTATAACTCGTGCCTGAATGAAACTTATTTAACACCCATATTTTCTCTAAGGCACATCACAACCTTCTTACACTTAGTATCACCACACAGCAGCACTTCTGCTCTATACTTCGGAGCCATTTTAAACAGCAAAATTACCAACAAAAAGCACAAAAATGAGGAAAACATGGCAAAGCAGACTGTAGCTTTGCTCGACCTCAGCAGGAACATGCACATGAATGATTCAAATTTCTCACTCCTCCGTGCGTGTCTGTCCACAAATGACTACAAATGTTGCACAAATATTGATTTCTAAAGTTACAAATAAATTTTAGCAAGTAAGCCACTTTGCAAATATGGAATCTACAAATAATGAGGATCAACTGTATTTCGTTTTACAAATAGTTCAAATAAAATCAATAGGTTGAAAATTAAGCCAAAGAATGTTTGTCTGAAAATTACTTAAATTGTCTTTCAGATACCGCAGATTATTAAAAGTATCTTTAGAATCAAAGTAATAAAAATTTCTACAAAAAGTAGTTTTTAAACAAATATTCCCTTTTATACAACCACAATCTTTGAAAGAAAATTTGGGATATCAATTCTCATCCTCAGCTGCTTAGCTTCAGATTCCTGCAGAGTTCAGAAGCTTAGATGAGTAAGTATTTCCAGGAGTTGTCCAGTAATATTGATTTTTTAAAAAAATTAATTAGGTGAGACTTTCAGGAATTAATTTAGCACTTTAGGTATGTGTTCTTTTACTATCTTTCTGCTTACTAGTCATTGTTATATAGTTGAGAGGCTATCTGACTAGTATTTTTTTTTTTATCAAAGTCTTTTAAATAGCTTTAATTATCAGTTTGTTCTATGCTGTACATTTAAGTAACTGCTGAAACCTTCTGCAACCCTCTACTTCTTCTTACTGGCAGATGGCTGCTAATCTTATGAACAGTGGTGTGAGACTGAATGCTATTTGCCCAGGCTTTGTTAACACACCTATCCTTGAATCCATTGAAAAAGAAGAAAACATGGGACAATATATAGAATATAAGGATCATATCAAAGATATGATGAAATACTATGGAATTTTGGAGTAAGTAAAATTTTATCTGTCTTCCTTTATATGATGGAGCAAAGTGCTATCTAAACAAGCAATGTAAAGAGAAAAAGTAAGCTTTTAAATTTGAGAAATTAATGCTTCAATGTTTTGATTTGGTGAACTCTGATAGAAAATTTTTTTCCTGGATTTCTGAATTGAATGTGTTTATACATTATGAATTCTGCTTTGAAATATAGACAATGCCTCATTAATACCTTCAGCCATAATCAGATTTTTTTTGAATGTGATATTTAGTCACCTTGGAAGGCAGTGATACCTTATCTGCCTAAATTCCAAGCAATATTCAAGTATATCCTTTGTGAAGTTTTGTTTGGCCCCATAACTTCAACCATTTTCATAAGAAATAATTTATCACACACACACGCGCGCGCGTGCATGCACACATTTGATGAATTGTGCTGAGTTAGAGTAGTTGGGGGTTTCACAGTACAGAATCACAACTATCGTACTGAAGGAATCATGCCTAGGATCAAATCCTTGCTCCACCACTTACCGTGAACTTAACCATCAAACCTCTAGATCCATCAATTTTCTCACATGTAAAATGGGTATAATATTAAAACAAACTCAGGGACCTTTGAAAGACATATAAAATGACATGTGTAAGGCACTTAAAACAGCAACTGGTGAAAATTAAGATGTTCAATAAATGCTAGCTTTAATTTATTATATTTTTACTTTAAAACATTGGATCATTTTCTCAGTGTACATAATGAACATAATTTTTTTCTGCCTAAAATGACAGAAGGCCACTAAATTTGTGTCATATAAAAATTGAAGGTAGCAACAGCTTAATGACATTTGTGCATTTCCCTATTACATGTTCAAGGTAGTAGATTCCTCAGAAAATAACTTAAAATGAAATGATAATATGCCTTATTCTTTCGTTTCAAAATACCAATATTTCTTTTATTTTTAGCCCATCAATGATTGCCAATGGATTAATAACACTCATTGAAGATGATGCTTTAAATGGAGCTATTATGAAGATCACAACTTCTAAGGGAATTCATTTTCAAGACTATGATACGATTCCACTTCATGCAAAAACTCAATGAACATCTTACATATCAGCCACAACTGAAAACAAGCACAAACGACGTAACATTCAGACCGTATCTTTATTTAAAGATAGCTTTTTAAATGAAATGTTATAGTTTGAAGCTTTCCTTCATGAATTTGATGTTAATTTTTTTCTAAATGATTAGTTAAGTATATGGATAAAATATTATAAACTATCAAAAATATGATGCAGATTATCTTTATAGTCTAAGTGATGATTAAAACAAAAGATATTCAAGGGATATTCTGCCTTTCAGAAAATGTATTTAAATCTGTCGCTCATAAATATTAATGTTTGTCGGAACATTATTTTAAAAGAGATACTTAAATTGTTATTTAAATCAAACCAGATGCAAAAAGCTCACTTTGTTTTTATGTTCCCACTTTAGAGAGGGAAGCTACTTAATAATGGCAAATGTTTAATAATTTTTGCTTATATATACCATCTTTCATCTGAACATTTCAGCTTTTTAAAAATGTGGCATATATTTAGGATCCAGTAATTAAGGAATAAATCACAGTGTGAATATATCGCAAATGAAGAATCTGATGTATTGAAAAATGACAGAAAGTGACTGAGACTGATGAATCACGGGTTAGCCTCCCATCTGGGAAAAACATTTTTTTCCTCTTTGCTTACTTTAAGAATTTTAATTGACTCCAAAAATCTCAGGGATGAAACTTTTAACAATTATAGCAAAAAAGGATAGTTAGTGCTCCTGAAATTTTATATTTAAAACACACTCATTAGGGGAAAAAATGCAAATATAATGGGATTTTTTAGATTACTTCTTTGATTTGTACCAATTTCAAAAGTACCAAAAGTCTTTTATTCTAATCTCCATAAGTTACTTAGTCTTCTACGTATAGCTATTAAGGAGAAGAAAGCAATCTTGCCACATATACAATTTGTCATATACAAAGAAAAAAGGTTTATGTACATGTGTGGAAATTCATAGCAACACAGAGGTAAAAATAGCTGTAATGGTTTGCCTTTTTTGCTGTCGGATGTCTTAAGATAGATCATTAAGTGCACTTGCTTTGGGTAACACTCTTTCCAAGCAATGGTACAACACAGAGGTAAAAATAGCTGTAATGGTTTGCCTTTTTTGCTGTCAGATGTCTTAAGATAGATCATTAAGTGCACTTGCTTTGGGTAACACTCTTTCCAAGCAATGGTTAATGCTAACAGTGAAAGCACAAGATTTCTAAATCAATCATTTTCTCAAAGAAATATTATATAAGTGATTCACTCTGCTTCCTAAATCCAGACCTCTCAGCTTGGAGCAAAATCCATCTATGTGAGATTGATAAGGATTTCATAGAGATAACTGGAGTGTTCGCATACTTTGCTCTGTTTTAATTCTGCCACGGAGAACTATTGCCTTCGCCTTTAATGTGTAATTTGAATACAAATAACTGTAGTCCAGAGTTACACATAATGTGTCTGACAAACACCAAGCAATGAGCATCAATGACATCTGATAGACATAAATTTTAATTAGGCACAAACTTGTTTGTATGTTCTGCCAGTGACCCGTCAGCAAACGATGTAGGTAGGGATAGTATCACTTACCTATCTTATATATTTTCCCTCTGTAATGAAAAGTCATTGCTTAAACTTTTCATTTTTGGATAATATTTTTGTGCTGGAAGCCTTTTTTTTTCAAATCAATCAACTTTGTAGACATTTAAAATCAAATAGTGAGTAGAACTGAAGAAATGTGAGTTACATATGTTAAAATACTTATTTTACTTTAAAACTTATCTTCTATAAATAGTTTTAATTAAATCTATGATATTATCTGATATTTCTATATACTGGTTGAGGAAAATAATTGAATTGAAGGGGGGGAAGCCTTGGTTTCTTAATTGTATTTTTCAGTGAAAATTCTAATGTAAATAACATATTTTTTTAAATGTATTTTTCTCAATAAATAGAGTTGGGACTCTCAGAACAGCAAAACAACAAATATATGGACACAAAAAAATTGAGATGATAATTACATTGAATTGTCTAATGTACTTAATTTTCTCTTATAAACATCATTTTAGATACTTGTAATGTTATTTGAGATACAAGTGATTACGTTATGATTTCTGTTTATTTCTGTTCTGTTTATAAGTTTAGAATACTGAGGAGGTCTGAAAATGTAAATTTTTAATAAAATTCAAGTTATTTCACAAGCTCAATATCTCCTCAAGGGTAGTTTTTCTTCCATTAGAATTCAAAAGGAAACTTTATTGGTGAACAGGAAAAGTCAACTGGATCCACAGTCACAGTTGCTGTCATAAGGACTGTGTCACCTCTCTCTTGCCAGCTTCCCTCCTGGGCAGCTCTCTCTACCTGATGAACTCCAGGATCTACAGGCCTGATTCCCACCAGCTTCCAGTTGGCAAAACAAGAACTTGTTTTTGGCAAAAGAGCTTAGGTCAGGTCCTGCTTCGATTATGTGCCCACTATGGAGACAGTCCTTGTGGTCAGAGAGATGACCACTCTGCCTCACCAGGACCAAATGACATATCTCCCCCAGAATTAGGGATTAGTAGGAGGGCAGGAGAGGCAGGCAGGAAATTTACCTAAACTCTATGGCGTAAGACAAGGAGGGAGGAAATTTCCAAGAGAAAAATTATGCTGTCATTACCTGACAGTAGGTGAGTGAATGTTGAGCTAACAAAAACGATAGGTAGGCCCTATACAGGAACACAAAGAAAGAGTGAGAAAAAGATTAATTATGTCTTAACACTTTGGATAAATTTGTAAAGATGCCCATGGTTCCTAGAACAAGCATAGACCCATGTTTTTCAAATTGTATGTACCACATTGGGTGTAACATAATAAAAGAGAAGAGAAGAAAATGTATAGAAAATATGAGTACAGCAGGCATCTCATGCATATATGATTGTTCTCATTCTCAATATAAAGTACATTTCTTATTGTAAATCACAGTGAGAAAGGTCCGAAAGCTCCTTGTTTTAATCTTGACTGCAATCATTGCCTCCAGACTTCCTTCATTTTTGAGTTTCTGATTATAATACTTTTGAGTTTCAGCTTAATCCTATGGTTACATTCAAACTTATTAGCATCACTTATAATTCCTCTTACTATAATCTTATTGTCAGCATTAAATTTTATAGGAATTTCTAAGTTTAACTTTAAACGATGAAAATTAATATCTTTAATCCCCAGTTTTCAAGAATACATATACATTCACTCATTCAACAAATAACTTAAAAAATGTAATTTGCAGGATCAGCCCCTTGTGCTACAGAGGCGAGCAGCACAGGGAAGGGAAGGGAATTGAGAACAAACAGGCAAGTGAGAGGCATTACATACATTTGTTATTTTCCCTGCTATGATATAGATCTGAGCTTGCTACTTAGCACCCTCTAAAGCCTATCTTTGAGTCATGAGTAAAGATATCACTCTAATTCCGTAAGAATAAAATGGTGTGATGTTTCTGCGGTCTATTTCCACAATAACTAATGACCATGTAGACTTCCGATCAGGATGGTGGAATAGATGGTCCCCAGCATCACCCTCTCCCACAATCAACCAATTTAAAACTATTACAAAGCAATGACTGCCAAGCTAGGGGCACTCAGGGGAAGAGGGGGAGAGACCTGGGGAGTTTATGAAGGCAGGAGAAGTCACGATGAGATAAAGAAAGAACCGCTCCGACTGTTTCAAGCCCCGACTACTTCAAGGCTGGCCCTGGTGAGCACATGGAACAAAAGCTGGCAAAAGCTGCAGCCGTGCATTTTGTATGAAGTTGCTTGGAGGCTGCGGGGGAGAAGAGGGCCTTGGTGGACCCTAGGACAGCAAGACCACTAACAGGGTTCCCGTGGACCCACATAGGAGTGAGGGGCTACAGACAACTTGAAAAAGGAGCCACTCAGAGGCTGGTGAGTCATTGCAAGGGGCCAGTGCATGGCCTGTCCTATGGGAATCGTTTGGAGTGTGGGTAGTAGGGAAGACTAGCTCACCAGGGGAACACTGGGGCACAGCATGGACAACTTATTTGCCCCAATCAGTGCAGGACCACACGGTGGATACTGGTCAGGAATATAGAACTACGGGGCAGGGGGTGGGGTGGGGGGGTACAGTTTGCTGAAAAGACTGAGGTTCGACCAGAGTCCATACAACGCAGGTGTACCAGAACTGACAAGACCCAGAAGTGCTTACAAGGTCAACAATTAAGACCTGAAGGGCACCAAAAGCCTTCCCAGAGAATCAGCAGCAAAGCACCAATTTAGCTCAACTGCAGGGTTCAAGTGCTGGTTCCCTTAGAAAGTTCCCCCATTTTAGAAGTAAGCAAAGTACAACAAATTAGTTCCAGGGCAGAGTTTAAGTGGTGGGAATAGCAAATAATCCAACACAGAACTGAAAGAAAAAACAAAAACTCCATAGATCAGAGACAAAGTTGTGATTTTAACAGAAAAGGTCTAACACCACCAAAAAACACCGATAAAACTTCAAAAGGCCAGAAGCCCCTTGGGTTCCCAAGTCAGGGCAGTGGGGAACCGAGTGTCTCAGCCAAGACCCCTGACATCCACATCTAACCCAGTGATGACCACCGAGGTGCTTCTGGAAGCATCCCCAGCTTCCAATCAAGTTGGGGAGCTGCTGATGGCCTCAGCCATACCCTCTCAATGTCTGTATCCAGCCCAGTGACAATGAGCCACCACTGTAAGCACCCTGGGCTCCTGGGGGGGGAATAGGTCTGAAGACCTCAGGGGGGGATCTGAGGATCTCAGCCACAGCTGAATCAGCATCCAGCCCAGTGATGACCACCCGGCCGCTGCCAGATGTGCCCTGTGCTCCCAGTGTGTGGGGGAGCCAAGGGCCTCAGCCACGCCCCCTGGAAATCCACATCCAGCCCAGCCACAACCAAGAATGAGGGGGGTGCCACGGACCTTGACCTCATCCTTCCCTCCCTCTTTCCTCCTCCTTCCACGCTATCTGCTTCCCCTTTCCCTTCTCCACCTCCCCCAACTGCTCCACAACATCTTAGAATGTAAAAAAAAAAAAAAATAGTAAATAAATTAAGTTTTAAAATAATAATGACCCTGTAGTCATTTTTTATGTAAGTAACAGCATATGCATTTTGCCATACAGATATATACTTAAGAAATACTGTCTAATTCTCACTGTATAAATTCTATGAAAGGTACAAGGATACTAAAAAATGTTGACTATCTTATTAGATCCTACCACAACTTTAGGCTCAACCTGCTAGGTTTAAATTAAAAGAGGATAAACTAATAAATTCCTGGATTTTGGTTGCCCTAAAGTAATTGCATGCTAATTAGATACTCATCTAAAATTTAATGTATAAACTTATGTAAATTTGTAATTCTTTGCCTTTAAATATATATGTGCGTAGATATAATTTTACATATATACACACACTGTATGAAGGACTAGACTAGATCAATGGCTTGCAAATGTTTTGCTCCTGTACTTGCCCAATAATTTTTATAACTGTGTGTCCTTTATAATCATTAAGTAAGTGTAGCAGAGGTTTCAGATAAACCCTAAAACCCTAAAACTCATGGCTTAACACAATGGGCCTTTTTTTTTCTTTTTTTGCTTCCTCAAGAATCCAATGCTGGCGGTATTCAACAAGCAGCTTTTTGGGATTCTGCTGCCTTATAGCTCCACTAAGGCTAAGGCCAGGAATCATTCACTTCCAGCCAGTGGACTGGAGAAGAAAATGGAAAAGGCATACCTACTTCTTGAACACTTCAGCCTGGAAGTAATACACATTATTTTAGTTCATAGTCCATTGGTGAGACTAATCCCATGGCCCCATCTAAATGCAAGACATACTGAGAAATGTAGAACCCGGAGACATGTGCCTCCCAGAAACAACTCTACACAAGAGAAGGAAGTCAGATTTTTTAATAGACAAATTTCTTGTGTCTTTGTCACACTTAATATCCTTATAAATCCATTGTTCCTCACATTAAATACTCCTACTCAAGGGTAACACCCTAAAATCGCATG